GAATTGAGAAGAGTCCTCCATTGATATACATAGCAACATCAAACATTAATACAATGCTGAATATATATAACTTAGGGTCCGTTTGATTTGCAGTCGGAATCAGATTTGAATTAAATTGGAATTAAAATCCTTTATAATCGGAATCAGAATGGCCTATTTCCATGATCTACTTAGTTGAATGGAAATGTGAATTGGAATTGGAATTAACAGGAATGAGATTTTATTCCCAAGGAAGAGGCAGGAAATGATCATTTCTTCAAATGGAGGAATGTCATTTCAGTAAGAATGGGAATAAGATTCTAATTCCGTTCATCCAAATACTTAAAATTGGAATAATCCCCATTTCGATTTTGATTTCAAACCCTTATTCCTGCAAACCAAATGGAGCCTTGAATTAATCGGGAAAAACAATGAAAAAAGAACAATGGTCAAGATTACTAGATACGGTACTACAATACAAAATCTTGGCACCTGAGGGGCAGAATAACCTATCCAATGTGCTTGTGGCTCATTGGTGCCTTGGTGTTCGAAGCTTAAAGCCTAGCAAGAACAAGCCTGTGCATTCTCTGTACCTTGCTCATTAAGAGAAAGAGAGACGTTTAAGTGACAAGCCTATGAATGAAAGCAGAGGTGGATGGGCAGACATAGGTGCCTAGCTTATATACCACCACCACCAGTCCACCACTTCACCTCACCGTCAACACCAACTACACTTTGTAACATCATGCTATGTACATTCCCAATTCAAACTACCCATTAAATAATTTTTATTAGAGATACTGCTCTGAAGCCCTGATTCTTGAACGGAGAACCCACCAGAGTGGGTAACTGTAAGCTCTCTTTTTGGTTGGAAACTGGAAAGGGTGGGGTGACCTCGATCGAACCTGATGATACGTTTTGATCTCTATATGCTTTGTTTTACTTTTTCTTGTTTTTTTTTTTTAATGGGGTTTAATCCTCTTGACTTACCCGGCTGAGGCGTCGATCTAATTTCCCTAGGCAGCTGCCTCACCTAATCCGGAAAACAAAATCAATAAAACAGAGGAAATAAGTCATTTTCGGTGAAGTGACGGTTGAAGGTGACACATATTTGCAGATAGATAGGGGGAATCCCATAGTATTCTATTCTATTGATTGTCTTTCAATTCAAGGTATGAGAGAAGGTGAAGGGGCTGGCTGGTTTGGGTAACCCCGAAAAGATAAAAGGTGATTGGACTCTTGTAAGAGCCCCCCCCCCCCCCCGGACGTTGCTTTTGCCAGTCCCACCTCATTTTAATCAATCCAAAAGGACTGGCCTAGCAAGCAGCAAACAAACAAACAAAACTGCAAATTAGTACACACAGAAACAGGGACCCTGGGGCCCTCGCATGTGGCCATTTTACCAGAGAATGAGCATCCTTTCTTTTGCTTTGATTAAAAAGATCTGGACTAGTCTAATATTTACTACTATTCTCCCTAGAATAATGGGCTTAAACATGTTACTATTTATATTTTCCACAGCACAAACAGGCGCTCTGCGTTTCGTTCTCGTCCATATACATGTATATGTGGTGGTTGTCTCTGGACCAGGTTATGGTGCACCATCCAACTGATCTTGAACACATAATATCTAATACACATCGGTTGGATTTATAAATTCAGGATATGAAAAAACTTGCGAAATTTAAGGCTTCACCCATTTATGCTGATCGGGTTGTTTCAGATTTTACCTTATGCATGGGACCAGTTCACAAGGCAATTAAAATTCAAAAATGAGTGTTGAAATTGATTTCAAGACCATCAATTGGGATCCCTATCTTCATCATTATTAGTTTTGTCAAGAGGGCATGTATGAATACCAACTGCCAACACAAAAGTATAATTGTCCATCCCACGGTCTTAGTGCTGGATTCGAAAATGCAATTCTCTTCATATATAGCTCAGTACTTGCTGGTGTCTGCCAGCCTTTTCATCCTGTTCAATTCATATATACAAAAAGACCAAATCAAGTTTGAATTTGACGATTCAGGAATGGAACTCGTCTTTGTTGAAATGGGGTCAAGCCTATACGTGAAACTTCTCACCAAGAAATTATGTGGAAAAAGAATCAACAGTCCTTGAGTATCCGGACTGTCCTTCAACACAAAAAGGAAGTGCACGTATAGAGACAAATAGCAGTCATGCACACGAATTGGACCCATCTTTCAACAGGTACTACAGCAAAAGATTAAATCCAATACAATCTAAGGCCCCGTTTGGTTCATTGGAATCGGAATATTTCAACTGTTTCGTTGGGCGGAATTAGAATTCTATTCTCATTCTTGATGGAATGGTCATTCTCCGCCCATCCTTTGTGAATGAAATCCCATTCCTGTTGGTTCCAATTCTTATTTTCATTCCTGTCTATAGATCATAACTATTCCGATTCTGATTCCGACTGTAAACCAAACGGACCCTAATGATTTTTATTTAGCCACTCAATTTTGCTTCTTTCCTCAAATTCTGAATTTCCAATAATCACTTAGAGAAAGAGGGATACACCAGATCTTAAATTGAAGGGAATAGAGGGAACAATAGAGAGATACCTTCTACCCACCCCCCATGAGGCCATGATTTTGATGCAAGATGCAGTCATTGATTTCATTAAGAAGAAAACAGCAAAAGCAATATGATTCATGGTCATGAGGGTACCACCATCACTGTCTATGAGGGAATAACCACAAACCCAGGACCCGACATGGATGGTGATGGCAGTTCTTGTAGGACTGAAAGCGTCTGGCTGGGATTTTTGGTATAATAACAGGGACCCATACATTATTCCCTGTGGCCAATCTTCTTTTCCCCTCTCATTTCATTCATCAAATCATTCACATTTCACATCCTGATGCATTTTCATTTCCTCTATCGACATGGGTTTTTCTTTTTCATCAATTTTTCTCCGAAACACTTTAAAAAAAATCAATTAAAGATGGTGCCGAAGTAAAGGAAAAATAATTCTTATTGCATCGTGGCAAATGGCCATTGAACCAGAGTGGCCACGTGAAAAGAGGGTGACAAGGAGAACCGTGTAGTACATGATAGGCTGCCACATGAGAGCTGTCATGTGTAAGGATCCTACAGGGTGGATTCCAATGGTAATCTGTCCCATATTACGCAAGTACAGAGAAATGGGTTCTGTAGGCCATGTCGAATAATCTCTATTGGGACCAAATTTTATTTTCATAAATCATACCCTCTATGCTTCTCTCTCTCCATATCAGGGTTACAACTTACAATGAGGTCTAGCTGTCAAACCAAGCCAAAGCCCATATTAATTTTGTGTGAAAGACAAACAATCTAAAGTTTGCATGGAGGACGGGCTTTAGCTTAATTAATAGCTTGTCGCTCTAGGGAGCGAACTTGCACGGAGACAACATCGTTTTCTGAAGAGAAAAAGGAACAGTCCAACAAGCTCGTTCACCCAATGGCAATGCCAATAGGAAGAAAGAGTGACGAGATAAAAGGTTGCATCCTTGGTCTGCATACATACACAAACCCATAGCCTTTACCAGATATCGCTTTTTTTTTTCCCGTGTGAAGTGTTTCAACTTTCATATATGTGTGGAGCGAGCGTGGAAAGGGACTCTTCTTGCGTCGTACAGTCATGAGCCAAGTGTTGACTAAAATGATATACGCTGTTGCTGTTGCTGTTGGGTATCACGTATCACCTTGGTGGCTTGGCCTGTCACGTCGCTCTTCGGACCATGTGACAAGGTTTCAAGGCAAAACCAGCCAAGGCGACGATACCTTGCCATTGTCAAGCTTACTGCCTTACTAGTATTTGTAATTTTGTCGAACATGTATCGACAACGCTGGCACTGCAAAAGCTTCTCAGTTCCTATAGCCCTAGGCCTTGATTGTTCAAAGCTTCGCTTGGACGGCGATTGCAGAGCCTCCGGTACCGGCTACCGACCGACTTGGTTCATGACCTCTGAGTCTGTGGCTCGTCAGTGACAAGTTGGAAGTTTTGATAACGATGGAACACCGTGAACAAGACTAGTACTATACGTAATGTGCAACAGTAGGGCAATTTGTAGGCTTGCTAGCGGCCTTCAGCCTTCAGCCGCCCGTATAAATTAATAATTAGACCATTCCTTTCAGTATCCTGTGGCTACCCCTTCCAGCTTCCATGTTGTAATTAAGAATTAATTCTCCGGTAACCATTTTACATTTTACATGAAGATTTTGAGAATCTTCTTTAATTTGAATTATTGCAAATATATGCATTTCTGCTCTCTGGTAAGGAAGAACGGAGTGAAGTTTGGGTCTAACGCGTGATTAAGAGACTGGGCTAATACAAGGTAATGAAACTATAAAAATAGAAGGACGAAAACATTGTCAAATTCCAGAGAAGGAACCTGTGAACGACCGCTTGAGTCCCACATCTCAACTGCCAAGTGTAGAAAGAATATGACTAAATAGGCAGCACTGGGTTGCTTCCTAGAACTACACCTTTGCCCTGTAAATATGGGAAAAGTATATTACACAATCTATGCTTTGTGTTTGTGGAGTAACCCATCTTTGATAGTTCTGCATTGCAAGTGGAAAAAGAATCTGATCCAGGGGAGATCTCTGAAAATAGAAAATAATATAGGAAGCATACAGAAATAGGAAAAATTTAGGGCTCCATTGTAAAAGAATAATAAGAAAGGAGATCAAAACATGTAGACAAGACACTTCCATCTAGCTTGTTGAGAGAGACAGGCAGACAGAGACTCCCTCTCTGGTTCTTCGTCTAAAACCCCAATGTGTGTGTGTGTGTGAGAGAGAGAGAGAGAGAGGGAGGGAGGGAGATGCATATGTGATTTTCTTAGACTAATTATACAATAAAAGTAATAAACATTAGAAAACATATCCTGCTTTATGGTATAAAAATATCAACTGAATTTCAACCCTCTTTTAGCCCTCCCTATCACATGAAACACCACCAAACTAAAATTTTATAGCTAGTTAGATCAAACCTAAAGTGGAGAGAAAAAAAAAGCGAAAAACTCTTTTATCTTTCTGAGAGTAAGCTCATCCTCGTTTCTTAGTTACAATCTTTACTTCCAAGCTATCTCATAGTGATTACACAAACATGACAAGTTCAACGACAGAGAAAGAGAGAGAGTAGCCACTAGCCAGCTTGTTCAACTCAGTTAAGAATTACATTACTCATGTGTCCTTGCCTCTTTCCATAAAAGAAAATCAATAAATACATGAAAGAAAATTAATAAAAAACAGATACAGAAAAGAGATGAAGAGAAACATGTAAAGGAGATTTGTCTATGTTTTTCCAAGTTATGGTTTTGGGGATGGTATGTGTTGGTAGTTTAGGGCATGAAGAGCTTATTGCCACATTTGCAACGCCAAGCTTCAGGGTAGTACTCGAGAGGGATACTCCGCCCGGGCTGTATAGGCACGTGCACCGCCTTGCAAGGCGAACACCTCCCACACTTGGATCGGCACGTTGGTGGAGACGATCCCGGCCCAGCGAGTCTCCTCCGAGACAGAAGTCGCTCCAGCACCTCCAACCCACCTCCCTTTTTCGCCTCCTCTCTCTCCGGCTTCTTCACCCCGCTTACTCCCACTAACCCACTACCTAAAAGAAAAAGAAAAAAAAGGAAGAAACAAAGTCTATATCGTTGAGAGAGAGAGAGAGAGAGGGAGAGGGAGACTCAGAGTCTGAGACCCAGTACAGCTTGATTTGTATGAGTTTAGTTAAGCCAATACATACCGAGTTGGCGGGTAGATGAGAGAACAGTGGCCGAGGCGGACGCAATGAAGAGGAGAGCGAGAGCAACTGCAGCAGAAAGACGGTGATGATGGTGGAGCTGCTGGTGGCGTAGTACGCCCATGGCCAAGCTAAAAAGGCTGCGCACGTTAGCAGAAATGTGGATGGTAGAATTAAAAGCTCAGAAAGAGATTGGGAAGGCAAATGCTATTATTGCGATGGCGTGAGTCCAAAGTCAAAGAACTGATAGGTGTCTGTGTATGTGTTGTGTGTGTGTGAGCGAGAGCGAGAGTGTGGTTCTTCTCTTCTTCTTTTCTGGGCAAATGAAAGAGTGGGGGGGAGGGGGGGAGTGGGGCCCCTAGAACCGGGAGAACGGCCTGATGAGAGGCGATGGAGTGAGTCTCTTTGGACGGAAAATATTACGAGGCTGCCATTGAGAGATCTGAGGACAGAGGGAAAAAAGAATGAGAGAAATAGATAGGAAATAGAGCGTACGAGGAAATAAAAATGAAAGAGGGCTAAAGTGTAATATTTCCTGAATAAGGGGGGTTTTCAGACAAGCATTTATGGGAAGGTATCAAGGTGGGAAGGTAAGCGAGCAGCGCTCGTGTGAGTGAGCTCGTGTGGAAGTAGGGTTGTCCCGTACGGGAACAACCAACCTCTGATTCAAAGAGAGAGAGAGAGACGAAACTTCCCACCATTATTATCTCTCTCTCTCCCTCCGCCAGGCTCCAGCTCCCAATCTCCCATTCATCGGCCATCGGCCATCGGCCATCGCATCCCTCACTTGGAGGTCTCAACGAATCCCTGCCGGGTATGACAGTTGTATTAATGTGCGGGTCCCACTGTTGCAAATCCAAACACGTCGGGAGGTGTTGAAAGCCTCAGGCCCTCAACAACGCTCAGCCTCTGCGGCGTGGTCCACCGTCCATACTCCATGCGGGCCGGTCCTTAACATAGATCATCATCATTTGAAACCGGTCCCCCAGCATCACAGTTCACAGGCTTCCCCAACTATTCCTTGAGATTTGGGTTCCACAAATTACCAATCCCCAGATATACATATCTGGACGGTAGAAAATGCGACTCATTGGTCTTTAAAACGGTACTCTGATCATGCACCGCACATCAGAAATACTTTGTTGGTTGGCCCCAAAATGACTTTCACTTTATTTCACAGCTCATATGGATATGGCCTTTTGTCACGTGTAGCTCTTTTTATGATTTGAACCTAGAATCAGAATGACGTGGAGTTTTTTTTTTTTTTTTTTTTTTACATTTTCAATTATGGTTGCGGATGATGGTAATTGATCAATGCATCTTAACTTCTTAACCTATGTTTGGTGAAAACCCAGGAAAGCCCAAATAGACTGTATCATCGGCCAAAAAATTGGCTTTCCCATGATGTCTGTTTTGAAAGCAGCTTAGTGAGAACAGCTCAATAAAAGCTTCAGCAGCCCTCCAAACTACAACCCAAAACATAAAAAAAAAAAAAAATGAAAATTTTGAAATTTTGACTTGCAATTACAATTGCTCGTTTTTGTGATTTTATCTATCAATTTTATTTTTAAATAATATATGGATAAAAGGATTTTGTATATTAATTGAGGCACCTCCTTAGAGGTTGGAGCCAGGTGGGAAGTTTTCATGAATTACGTATGCTGCGACTCTCAATGAAGCATAGACACGTCAGCTATCAAATAATATAAAAAATTATTAGAATTTAAAACAAAAGGTTATATTTATTATATAAAAAGCCTATATCGTGGTCACAGTAGATGAGATGTTAGACTTCATCTGCTCTGCTCATAAATGTGTATGGGGAGGAATCGTGGTTTATTCGGAGATGAAACGAACGACATTCAATTCAAGGAATGAGACGGGCAATCCAAACACAATACAACAAAAGGAAAAATATTTTTTTTTCTTTTTTGTTAAGTAAAGAAATATGAACTAGGAAAGGAAATGGTATTGCCAAGTGCACAATCCCAAGAGGACCGGTCCATTGGATAGTCCATGCGTGTTGAAGTGAGCGTCTATCAATGAATCAATGTACTCCCTCTTTGTCAAATGAGAACAACCAGGGAAAATGAAAGATCATACCAAAATAAAATAGCGACTGGACGCAAGCTACATGCGAATTGTTAAGAGAGGTTTTTGTCAACACTCGAAGATCAGGTCAAGTGAGAATGATGAAAAAAAAAAAACTGAAAGGAAACGTGTAGGTGGAAAACAAATAAACAATTGATGGCAATCCAAGGGTTGAAATTTGACGATCAAAATTAACTCCAAAATGATCTCTAATGGCTTTGAAAACTTGATTTCTAATGATTTGAAAGTATGCACGATCAAGAAGATAGATGAATCTATTTCTTTCACCCAATGCTTAGAAACCTCTACTGAAGTTTTTCTTTTTTTTTTTTTTAATTCTCTTAACGATCTCTTGTGAATTGGAGAAAAAGCTATGAAGAATTCTAAGGTTTCTGTTGAAAAACTATAACGGTTTTTCTATAGATTAAAGATTTTAAAGCTTTCTAGTTTTCTTGGTATATGTTTGGCACAGATGCAGCACCGTTTTCTAATGTGTGGTTGAAAACATCGTTTTCTCAGAAAATGATGACTTTATTTTTGTTTAGAATCGTTACTGTTAGGTAGGATGTTTCCTGGAGCAACAACAACTTTTTCTATTTGGTACCAATGCTCTAGGAAACGTTTTCAGCACTAGTACCCATTATCTAGTGCCACATTACTGCCCTGTTGGCAGCAACAAGTTGCAGCTCTAGGGAATGCCAAATTTAGCATTGATTTCCGAGAAATAGCTTGAAGTACCATCTTTTATGGAAAAATGGTTCCAAACAAATGCCGGTTTCCTGGAGCACCGTTTTTTTCCGATGTGGCGTTGATGTGGCGCCATTGCTCCAGAAACGGCAACAATGCCAAACAACCGCTTAAAAATTACTTGTGAGTTAAGAAAGAAAAAAAAGGGGGTTCCTTCTAGATGAGAACCTTCTTATAAAAATATGTTGAGAGTCTTAATTGGTCTCAACCTTTCTGGTGAAAGTTTATCTATTGGAGTTTCAACCAATCACCATTAACTTATGGGACCAATGTGATTAGAAAAACAAGATCTTTTTATCTTTAGGCTGTGTTTGGATGCAATGCAAACAAATTTGTATAGTAGATGCAAAAATATGGCAGTGCAAATGAATTGAGTGTAAATTCTGACCTATTTTTGTTTCAAAATTTAGCTTATTTTGTTTGATTACAGTACAAATGAAGTAAATAAAAACATGAATCAGAATAAAATAAAACTCAAAATAAAGTTAAACCAGAATTTGCATTTTTTTCATTTGCACTCCCATGTATTTTTACTGGTGCAAATTGCATTGCTACCAAACACACCCTTAGAGACATAATTAGAATAATCACTTTGAGAAGGATTTCTTTAATTATATCTCTTTATCTAGATATCCTTCTAGATAACTTGATGTCCCCATTGAATCTTTATATTGTTTTGTAAAATTAGGCCTGACCAAGGCCGAATTAATTTGGACTTGAATTACTTGCGAATTTGGGCTTTAATCTTTAATCCGTAAGTCTAGCCCATTTGTAAAGTTGACACATAGAACAAATTTTATACCTAAAAACTCGTTAGATTTGTCTGTCCCAACATGGAGATTGAGCCTACCATACAAGCTAGCCGATGCGACAGACATTACTTACAAAGTGGATGACTTATATTGAAGACCTACCATGACCTAACATAGAAAGGGTGGTAGAAGAGGCCACTCCTGTCTTGGCTATGAAATCAAGCCGGATAGATCCGCTTGTTGACTATTTGTGCCACGGGACCCTACTAACAGAATACAGTGTAGTTCAAAGGGTAGAGCGATAGTTAGCTCGCTATGTGATCATTGTCGAGCAATTGTATCATTGGTCATTCACGCTTCTCTACCTACACTGCTTGCGCCTAACAAAAGCAAACCAGGTGTTACACGAGATCCACAAAGGTCTCTACGAAGAATACTTGGGGAGCATGGCGCTGCCCTAGAAAGCCCTACAACAAGGATACTACCGGCCAACTATGAAGGCGAATGCAATAGAACTCATTTGGAAGTACGACAGGTGTCAGTGACACACTAACATACCACATCAGCCCACCGCCGACTTAAAGTACCTTACCATCCCCTGGCCATTTGTACAGTAGGGATAGATATCCTCAGCCCCTTCCCACCTATGATCGGGCAGAGGAGGTTCTTGGTGGTTGTGGTGGACTACTTTACGAAGTGGGTAGAAGTCGACCCGCTGGTATCGATGACAACTCATAATGTCTAGAATTTCTTTTGGAGGAACATCATCTGCAGGTTCGAACTCCCCAAGGTACTGATATCAAACAATGGGAAGTAGTTCGAGGATATCAAATCCAAAACTAGTGATCCGAGATGGGAATCCAGTAGAATTTCACCATGGTGGCCCACCCCTGAGCAAACAATCAAGTCGAAGTCAAGAACAAGGCAATACTCCATGACTTAAAGCTCGACTCTCCTTGAGTTGTCAAAAGCTTGTAACCAGGTCGGTATCTTAGATAAAAATAGTAAGGCTCCCAGTGCATTTTCTTTATTTGGTAGAGCCCGGAGAAAATATCAAAGTTGAGGTGAAAACAGACGGATATCGTCCCTACTAGTGCCCTAATTGAGTTCGGGTGGAGCTGCCCTAAGGAGATGTCGTAGTGTGAAAGCACCTCGTAGAAAAAAGGGTATAGTAGGGAACGGAGCCTAGCGATAAGCGCCTCTTCGAAGACACATACCTCAATCCACCCATGGTTCGAAGGACGTTGATCCTCTCTAGGCAAGATGAAGCCATAGGACTCAAGGATCTAGAAGGTCGCCGCCAAGGCAATTAACTCCTCCCCACTTAGTTTGGTAGGTCTAAACTCCAACCTAGTCTTAGGTTGTTGAGAGGTCGAGGCCCCTCAATAGGACCCTCGTCGCTCTTGACCCGAGGTCCCCACCTCGTCTCGAGTGGCCTGGGTATACACCCTCTCCGACCCCACTAGACATAATGCAAAAATAAGAACTCATCGGGAACTGAGAGAAGACCGACCTCGCGCAAAAAACCAAACTCGTCTGTGAGCTGCTCGAGATCTCATTCAAGCAATCCTTCGGAATACTCCCAAAATAGTGCAATAGGGACCTGTCGGGGGGCCCCCTATTTATAGCGAGAGCATTCTGAAATCAACGCCAGAGATGTGTCTCATCTGACGGCCTAGAGGAGGAGCGCACTCTTTCAACATTTAGCGAAAATTTTGAATTTTGAATTTGCCCGCCCAATCGAGCCACGTTGTCGCTTGGCGGCAAAATTCAAAATTCAAACTCGCGTGCCGAATTCACCAAGCTGACCATATACGTCACTCCAAGCCAAAAGCAAGTGATGAGCTACTCCCTTCACCAAGCTGACCTTGGCTCGGGAGTGGGGGGAAAATGATGAGGGTGGATTTGGCCCTCCAATGACACCATGACACATGATGCAACAATGATTTGCACTCCTAACCCATACAACATTCGTACCTTTTAATCTCATTTGCACTACTTTCCTCCTACCACAATTCACATTCATATAAGGTGGGGATTATATCATCTTGCTTCCTATCT